TGGCGTACAGTTGTGCAGCGGGCCTATCAGATGGCACAACCTTGAGCTTTGTGCTGGCTTACAACCATTCCGCAATATAATAAAAGAGCTGCAATATTATGTAGATATGGAGGCAAAATAGAGAGTTCCTAACCTCAATTGTTAGTCCAGAAAGTCAGGTAGTTGAAAAATGACATGGTTACTTGTACCTATGGATTTTTCTTGTTAGTCTTATTTTTTTCCCAGAACACTTTTAGGTTTAGTCATCATTTTTATGTATTCATGAATTAATTAACTAATTAATCCAATCATTCATTCATTCAACAACTATTCACTGAGTACCTATTATGACATTTTGCTAGGTCTTAGCTATTGAAATTGAGACTCTTATAATAATATTGTGAGTTTCCATAAGCAGTTTGTTATAAAAATGAACAAGAATAGAGATCAAAATCAGCAATTCCTTCAATCAGTTATTATTGTTGCATTTTATTTTTGAGGTAACGTTAGAATTCAAGCCTTTATTTGATAGGCCTATGAGTTAGAAAACAGTTATTTCCCAACTGTTAAAGGAGGTGGGGAGAAAGTCTAAACATGAATAGCTACATAATACACATTAGAAAATCCATTAGGTTATAGAAGAATTTACCAGGGTTCCCTTTTAAACAGCAGCTTTCAGTTGACTTTAATCAATTTATATATATTTTAAAGTTTTATTTATTTAAGTAATCTCTACACTCCGTGTGGGGCTCAAAGTCACGACCCCAAAATCAACAGATGCATGCTCTTTCGACTGGGCCAGCCAGGTGTCCCAATTTATACACATTTTAAAGGGGTGCCTGGGTGGCTCCATCGGTTCAGCCTCCGACTCTTGGTTTTGGCTCAGGTTGTGAGATCATGCCCCCTGTTGGGCTCTACACTCTGTGGGGAGTCTGATGGAGATTCTTTCTCTTCCTCTGCCCACCTTCCACCCCTCTCTCTCTAAAATAAATAAATAAATCTTTAAAAAAAAAAAAAGCAGGGGCACCTGGGTGGCTTAGTTGGTTAAGTGTCTGCCTTCAGCTCAGGTCATGATCTTGGGGTCCTAGGATTGAGCCCTGCATCAGGCTCCCTGCTCAGCGGGGAATCTGCTTCTCTCTCTCCCTCTGCCCCTCCCTCCTGTTCATGCGTTCATGCACACTCTCTCTAATAAATAAGTAAAATCTTAAAAAAAAAAAAAGCAGCACATTGGATTGCCTGGCTCACTCATTTGGAAGAGCACATGACTCTTGATCTGAGGGTCCTGAGTTTGAGTCAAACTTGTGTGTAGAGATTATTTTTAAAAAGGGTGTAGGGGCACCTGGGTGGCAAAGTCCACTGAGCGTCCAACTCTTGGTTTCAGCTCAGGTTATGATCTCAAGGTTGTGGGATCAAGCCCCTCATCAGGCTCTGGGCTGAGTGTGGAGTCTGTGTGGGATTCTCTCTTTCTCCCTCTGCCCCTCTCACTTGTGCGCTCTCTCACCCTAAAATAAATAATTTTTTTTAAAAAAAGGAGTGTAGAGTATAGAGCTCACATGCACACAAAAGCACATTACTGTCTAAAGTGAGCTGTACCTGTTATTCATTTTTGCATATTCAGCCCCTATTCTTTGTCTAGTGTAACTTTCCTTTTTTTTTCCTGGCAGACTTAATATGCCTAAAATATATGAATAATGCTAACATTTATTGACTGCTTAATTTATACAACCTGGAGTCATGTTAAATACTAGATGCTTTATCTCACTTAGGTTTTAAGAAGTAGATACTGTTATTTATTTATTTTTTTAGAGATTTTATTTATTTATTTGACAGAGAGAGACAGTGAGAGCAGGAACACAAGCAGGGGGAGTGGGAGAGGGAGAAGCAGGCTTCCCACTGAGCAGGGAGC